CCATTAAAAGTTCAGTGTGTAGAATTTAGTGACATCTAGAGGTGAAGTTGCATGTTGCAGCTGAATACTCCTTTTGTTACCCCCGCCAACATATAAGAGAACATGTGCTGAACTTCAGTGGTGATGGAAACTCAATAGATTTTTTGGTTTTTCCAGTTTGGACGACAGTAAAAAAACATGGCGGCCTCCACAGAGAGGAACCCCATCCATGTTAATATAAACTTTTTAAATATAAAGAGCTCATTCTATGGGGAAAAAAACAACAATTCATATAATTTAAATGAAACACACCAGTGAAACATCACTAGGATTATTTTATATTCAATTTCTGCCAAAAATCCCTTTTACTTAAATCTTACACTCTGGACTTTTAAGGTGCAGCATGTAAAAAATTAAATGCAATTAAACTGCACTGTTATTGTATTGTATGATTATTGTTATTAAATATGTATATTTTTGTTTTGTTTTTTAGTCCAAAAAACGGACTTATCCCCATCGTTCGCAAAGAGGGTTTGATGCCCTGCTGGTACTAACAATGTCTCCGATGTGGTGAACTCTTACACGAGAGACAGAGGTTTATAAAGACTGACTATGAATAAGGGAACTTTATAACAGCATGTCCGCTGCTATAAAAACACATATGTTGCTCGTTATTGCTTTGACACGGTCTGAATTATTTGCAAGCGGCGGATTTAATGCCGCAAAGAGCTGGTGCTCGTTTTTTCCTCGTCCCACTAATGTTAGTGTGATTTCCAATGTTAGTGGACATCATTCTGGTGATGCTGTTTCAAAATGTCGGCATGTTCGATGTGCTACCAGCTACATGTCCGACTTGCACAATGTCGGCTTTTGTACGATGCACTCGTCTTTGTCCCTGTGTCATTACAGTGACTGTGAAACTGACATGTTCCCACACAGCAGACTTAAATGATGAGGGACGGTCTTCGCACTCCTGGTTGTCTAAGGTCGCTATGACCACGAGCCTACAGCACATATGGTCCTTCGCTAAAGTTATCCCATGGAATTTGAGATGCACACAAATAAGTTCTGCAGGTGGACTCGCTGTATTTGTACAGTACATGTGTGTACTGAACCGAAAGGCTCGTACTAGAAATCTTCGGTTCAGATCCAACTACAGTTACACCCCTAAAAATAATTTAAATAATGGCTGTGCCAACAAATAAAGACCAGAGAAGGGCAAGTTTATGTACAGTGTAGTAATTTCAGTGTTTTCAGTCTGTGCATTCCCATCAGTAGAACAGAGTCATGTCACACTCAGTGCTGGTAAGAATGACTCGTTTCATCTAAATTGTATGAATTGTAGTTTTCTTTACCCCAGAAAAGGTCCTTTATATTTAAATACTTTATATTTACACAGAGAGAGTCCTCTCTACGGAGGCCGCCATGTTTTTTACATTAGTCCAGACTGGACAAACTAAACACCTTTTGAGTTTTTATGACATATGAAGCTACCACAGGTTCTTTTTCATGTTTGGAAGGAGAGGGTGAGGCGAGGGGCGTTCAGCTGCAACATGCAATTTCAACACTAGATATCACTACATTCTACACACTGTACCTATAAGCTAGGAAAACAAATGAGTGACCTCTTCTTTACTGGGAGTCTGTTGTAAAGTGATGCTCATGTCTGTGTGTTTATGGAAGATAGTGAATACCTTGGGTGTCGGGCACGAGGCGGTGGAAAGGCGGGAGGTTGCCTGTGTCGCCCGTGGTGACTCGGAAGGGGTGGAGCTTAAAGAGGCTGAATCTCGAGGAAGCACCTGAACGCCTCGAGAAATGATCGAGTCCGGGATCTAGATCACACACACACAATGTTGTCGGGCTTTTACAAACATGTTGACAAATTACACCAAAACAGATACCAACATAATCCATATTTCACTAAGTGATCACTGGTCTTCATGCTTCAGATGACACTAAGAAGCAAAGTAACAGTGACAACTCTGATGAATTTCTTAACTAATGACATGTGTAAACTTGCCTCGTTTCAAACTATATGTATATCTGCACAGTATATTCTGACTTATCAGTGGTTAGTAAATACTAAAATATAGATATAATGTAATTTAACTCAAGTTCAACATCAGTTAAATAGTAAAATGTTGCATGTGATCTGAAATAATGTGTATTTTCTTTCTTCCTCTTAAAGAAATGAAATTAATTTGAAATGGAATCACAAATGCGATGTAGAAATGAAATGAAGCATTTGTGCGGAGCTATGAACAAACAGAACCTCTGCAGCTGCTCAAATCACATCAGGACTGTGTTTATGATGAGGGCAAGTTCATTTGTAACTTCATCAGAGTCGACCTTGAAGTGGGAAATCAGTCATGAATACTGGAGTGTGCAGCGTGTAGCAGGGACGTGGATGATTTCAGTTTCTGTGCGCTCATAACTGAACTACCAATGTAACAGGACGATTTACACTAAATATGTTGCATTATTTATAAGATCCATAGAGGACTTTCCCAGGATGTTTTGCTGTAACATACCTACACACCTATAAACTGCTGCTTTCAATCACCAACATTTTAGGAAGTTAGGCTCCCAATGTAAGCAAGGATTAATGCTGTGCTGCTCAAATCATCATGTGAATAACAACATGAATTAAAGAAATATTCACTTTTCTGGCTTCTTGGCTGTTAGCTAATGCTCCACTAGCTTCACCAGCTAGACACTAACTTTGACGGCGTATTGTAGTGTGCGGTGATTTTGTCAAAATGTGACAGCTGCCTGCTGTTGGAAACACAACTGATGAACTAAAACACCTCAGACGTGAGCGGTGAAAACAGAAAAAATGATGTGAAAGATAAGAAAACTCTGCTGAGCTGAAGGCAACAGCAAAGTTAATTATCTGTGGTTCATCACCTCCTATATTACTTGATCCATTGTTAATATAAAAAACACTGACCAAGTGCAGCTTTAAGTGAACTAAACATAATGTATATTGTAGCACGTTAAAAAAGTTCTGTGAAAACTTGGTGTTTGTAATTACATTAAACGATCTCTATTTTCTCTACATTCCAGATGCTCATCGTGAAAATGGTGCTTCATAATTGAAAATGTGTTTTTTGGGAAATGTGTGTGATTCATCTTGACAAGTCTTTGTTTGTGTGTTACTGACACTATCAGCTTGGCTCGGGGAGGATGGGTTTGTGCGCGTCTCAGCGCGAGTGTCTCACCTGCTGGTCATGAGTACAGGAGCAGGTGTAATGAGTGGGTGGGGCGGGTGTGGTGCCAGGCAGATAGGGACCCCCCTTAGCCATGACCACAGCATGGCTTGTCTGATGGACACACACATGCAGGGAACACAAACACACAAACACTTACAGACAGATGTATGTGGGCACGGACAGGTGAGTGAAATTAAATGGTGAACAGACACAAAAAGTTCACATTTGAATCTAACACCAGATGCTTGTAATCATTATCTAAACTGTGCTGTGAATACTCATGATATAAACATTAAATAATCAACATAATCTCTATTAACACAAGTGCTTTAGACCCCAATTACCCCAGGTGTAAAAGGCCCCATGAAATGAAAAATACAAAATGCACAACACATAAAAAGCAAGTGATCTAACGATACGCTTAACAGGAGAAGTTGGGAATTATAAAATAAGAAATGTGTATTCAGCTAAGCAGCTACGATTAATGTTTTTTCCAGACATAAGGCACATAGAAAAAATGTGCTAACTTAGCTAACCTCTGTGGTCGTGTGACCCTTGTCCGTAGGTATCTCCTGGTGCTCCCAAAGCAATACTGCAATAATGTCTTTATTATCTCCACCAAAGAGGTTATGCTTTCATTTTATCGGTCTGTCTTTTAGCTAGCAGGATTACACAAAAAATACTGGATGGATAATCATGAAACTTGATGGAGGGTTAAGTTACATTTTGGTGCAGCTGCAAATAAATATGTGGTTCCAGAAATTTTGTTTCACTTTCTATGCAGCATATCCCACATAATTATTTAAGGTGTGAGGTGCACGTACACATTGTGAGTGACAGGAACACAGACTAAAGAGTGAAAGACAGGTTTTTGAGCGTGAGAGAGAGCTGCATTGCATGCCACTTGCAGGTACGATGCACAACTGCATCTGAATCTATGAGCTCTGACTCTGGGACGGTGAAAAAATGACGATAGCGCGAGTGGGCATGTGGCAAATAGCACTGCACACAACTATACAATGCAAAACAGCAAGAGATCTCTTATTATGAGAAGTCTAATATTTGTTTTTGGTTCATTGTGAAACTGCGGCAGGACAAATTAGAATGTAGCGGGTATGGAATGCATACCAGGCTTAAAGCCAATAACAGTGACATCCACCTGCTTAATCAATTAATTTGCAATTGTGAAGCATTCAACATAAGTTGAGAACAAGCTTTTAGAGTATCCAGATACAGACTGCATATTACCGGGTGTAACTGAGACCTTAATGTCAAGTGAAAGGGGCATGGTTTAGCATGATCATTTTCCCCTCCCAATCTCCTTGGAAATGTTTTACTATTTCATCAAACAGCAACTTTCTTCAGCTTAACTTGGACTATTAAAATATTAATTTGAAATCTGAAGAAAAGACAGTGTACATCCTGAAATACTCTGCTATCTCTCCCCTTTATCACTAATCTGTTATTTCTGTTTGGAGACGGGCATCAGCCTATGGCATTAGAGCAGTATCTATAGTGCAGTAGCCTGCTGCTGCAATGACCCAATTTTCCCACAGGGATCATTAAAGTTTCATCTATCAAGTTTTCAGCAGCCGCTCGGGTGTTCTCGTGTCTCGCCGGCTGGTTACCTTGGCAGCAATAGCAGCTGCGGTGATGTGGGAGGAGCCATGCTGGGGATGGTGGTGGTTGTGCACATGGTGACCTCTCCTACTGTCCTCCTCTTCGTCTTCCTCTTCCTCGCACTGGGTGCCGCGCTCCATGGTGTGCATGTTGTTATGAGTGTTGGTGTGCGTGTTGGCCAGCAAAGAGGAAGGGGACGGCAGCTGCTCCAAAGCGGCATGTGTGTATTTAATTCTGACCGTGGCCTCCCGCAGCAGGTCAATGGCGTGGGGCAGAGCGGGCAAGATGAACTGAAAACACTCCTGCAGAAAGCAGCAGACCGTTCTTACAATGAAACAGAAGCCAAAACAGCTACAGTCACACTTGGCCTTAAACTAGCTAACTAATAATTAACTTTGGGGTTGATGAAATGTGTTTACTTCCTGTAAACTGCTGCATTCACTGATTCTTTTTTGCTGCTTGGGACCAGGAAATCTGGAATCCCAACACTGACACGTTAATACCTTTGAAAAACCAGCTGACAAAAATACTGTGTCTAAGTGGAAGTGGTGGAAGTGGACACGTGCATAGCCACATCATGTTCTGACTTCATTGCTATTCCAGTGTTGCTGTTACAATCTATGTAATAGAATCCTTGGCCTCGAGAGAAGAAGCTGGACTCAGGTCAAACTGCCTGTCACGCAAAATTAGGCATTAATAAGTACACAGTAAGCATGGGTGACTAAAGTCAAAGAATCGTACCTGAGAACCCTTCTTGCTCCCGGGCAGGTTGATAATCAAAGTCTTACCACGGATACCACACACCGGCCTGGAAACAAGATAGAAGAGAGCCGATTAGACCAGAGGAGGACACCACACACATTCATCTGGTTACAATAAAACAGATTGAAATCAGCAGCATGTCTGACTGAGCTGCAAGAACGTCAAGTCTTTACCTGGACAGCATCCCGAGTGGTGTAACGTTGAGTGATCCCATAAGCATGGCCAGAGCCATACCTGGGGCCTCTCGCTCGATCACCTCTCTGGTTGCCTACAGCAAAAGCAAAACGACTTAGACTTTGTTGAGACTTTTCTGGTGTTTGTATGTCCCAAAGATTGTTTTAGTTTTGTTTTAATTCAGAATATGTTCTTAAAACATGTTTCGCATTTTTAGACAGGACTTATTACTTTAGTCGTTCAATGTCTTGAATTTAATCAGTACCAACTTTTTGTGTATGAAACAATGGCAGTCAGGGTTGTATTGTTTGTACCTCAGGTGTAACATCTCGTGGTGCAAAGCCAGTTCCTCCAGTAGTCAGAATGAGATTCAGCTCCTGTTCATCGCACCACTCCAAAAGAGTTTCCTGCACACATGTAAACCCGCACACATGGTTTAAAACTATACCTTGCATCCTGCTCATGTATAATTTTATGAATCCAACAGGTAACTGCAATGGTTAAATGTTTTTATTCAAAGACACATTTGGGTTGAAATTCCACTGATAATTAACATTTGTCCTGCTCAAGTGTCTTAGAGCGAGACAACCAGCTCTATGGTGCTGCTTAGAACCTCAAGAGAGAATGTCCCCATTAGGATCAACATGAATGTCATATTCTCACTGCATTCAGACTAGACTAAAATGTGTTATATGATGAATAAAAGACACGTTTTAATGCAAAGTTTTGAACAACAAGCTCCACAAATCTGCAGAACTGTTCTGTAAAACATTTCCTCCACTGCTCAAAATATGTCTCACAAAGTTACAGGTCTGTTAGTAATGTTATCTGCAGCCTGACAGATATGGATCAACTGATGTTGATACCAATATTAGAGGGTAAAAATGTCTGATATTGATATATGGGCCAAAATATATATTTTTTAAATTGACAATCATTTCTTTGATGCCATTATCAAAATAAATCTTATTTAGACCTGATATTTTACAGCTTCACCATAAAATTAAATTATTATTATTAAAAATGACTATAAATGATAAGAAAACAGAAATATAACCATTCATACAGAACTCAGAAAACATTTTACATTTACATGTGTATGTAAAATGTAGACATTAACACACATTTCTTTCATTGCATTGTTTATTCTTAAAAACAAAAGTTTTTATATCTGTTTTCTATATTTAATATGTTAAGTGGTTCCTGTGCTTGCTGCACCACTCCTCAAATTAATGCTTCGGAGATTTCTGTGTTGTTAACACACGTTTGAGCCGAGAATCTTCTGCTGCGTTGTTCATGAGTGAAAGGCAAACTCCACAGAGAGTATGGACCCAATTGTGCAGACATTCACTGGAGTTCATGTCTGAAAATGGCTATTGTTGGCTAACTTTAATGTTGCTATCAAAAGGAGTTGTTAACTTCCAAGATTTAATGTCGGCAGTAACCATGATCTCCCTCTAGGCCTTCGCTGGAGAAATATGTTGATGTGCTGAACTAGACCCAGACAGTGAACAGTATGTTAGTGAAGTGAGTGAATCCATCCTCTGAATGACTCACAGCACGGGGAGCTGCAGTGATGCTTGGTTAGTAGAATCAACTGTACTAGAATAGATTAGAGAGAAAAAGCGGTTCTGTTCAGACAGTCTGGAAATGCTAACATCATTTACTGAGGTGAGTCAGTGTGTATAAGACTGCAGAGCAGTGATGATGACACCTTACGACTGACACTTGCAAACCTGTTAAATTGACACAAAGAAGACGACAGCTGCAACGTCAAAATAGAGATTATAAAGTGCGGTTATAATGTTATAAAGCATAACAATTAAAAATTCCTGACAAAAAAATAGACTCACATATAAGTGATGACAACTAGACAGACTTTCTTTGGCTTTTTGTTGACAAAACAAAACACCAATTTGACTAAAACTAAATTGAAATCAGTAGGAAAAATGAGCAGATGGTCTTTGCCTACTGCTAATAAAACTTTATTAATTTGGACAAACAAATTTGAGGGGAAAATGTTGCCACCAGTGGCACCAGAGCTTGTATCTCACTTATCAAATGTGTGTCCTTCTATGACAGATTACAACATTCTTGAGTGCCAGTGGGAAGGTGTGTAAAGTCCTGTCTGATTTCATGGTACATTGTCTCTCAGACTGGGAGTGATTCATTTGAGAGTGAGCTGCAAGCAAAGACACGCACCTTGATTTCATCGATTTCATCTGGAACGACTTTGTAGGCTGCTATGACTCCTCCCAACCTGCAGGGGATGACAAAGATACAGTGAGTGAAATGTGTGTGTAAGTGTCAGCATGTGTGCAGATCGTAGGTATTATGTACAGTCTCACAGTGAGGGGTCATGGACCAGGTCTTTCAGGTTGACTCCGCTCCTGTCCTCAGCCAAGTTCTTGAAACAGCTGTCACTGACTGAAGAGGAGAGAGGTCCAAGTTACTGAGAAGGTCTCTGACGACAGACACGTTCATACTCATGTACATTTTACCCAGACTTGTGATTGAGTGTTTTTGCATCTCACTGACTAACTATGTTACATCAATATGAGTTGCTAATAGATTATTCCTATGTATATATTAGTGGATAACTGCTGTGCAGGTCAATGTTGCAAAATGCTGTAAAAACTCCAATAGGACATTACAATGTGATTAAGACATGTTAATATCTCCATGATGAGGTGATGTTTTCACTAGAGTGTTTCACCTAAATTCTATTGATTGTTGTAGTTTTCTTTACCCTAGAATGTGCCCTTTATATTAAAATACTTAATGTTAGCATCAGGAGGGGCTCCTCTCTACTGAGGCCACCATGTTTTTCACAGTAGCCCAGACTGGACAAACTAAACTCCCTTTGAGTGTTTATCACAACTGAAGGCTACCACAGGTCCTCTTTCTTGTTTGGAGGAGAGGGAGAGGTGAGGGGTGTTCAGCTCTAACATGCAACTTCAACACTAGATGTCACTAAATTCAACACACTGAACCTTTAATCAGATTATTTCTTGTGTATGACCTTATTTAGGTTACAGCAATCAGAAAAGGCTGTTTACACGGCAGTGACTTCTTCAGGCTATTGTCTTGAATTGGGTAAATATCCAAATATTGTTGTCCAGAGTCAGGGTTTCACGTTTAACCGAAAAATGCTTCTTTTATTCAAGATAAACTGGGACATGTCATGTTTAAAGAACAACTGATTATGTCTGAAGTCTCGGTCACCAGTTACTTCAATGGTATCGGATTCGGCTGCTACAAAGTTTACATCTGAGACTCCAGAAGTGTTTTGTGGACTCCAACACTTCACCATCCCCTCCATCAGCATAGTGATGAGTAGATAATGAGTGCACTTTCGTTTTTCAGTGAACTACCCCTTTAAATGTGCCTCCTACTGAATCAGGGGTGTGAATGGATGTTGGCCATAAAACTGGCCTCTCTGTGTAAAATGTGGCCCCTTTATGGCCCCTGATGAAATCCTTAATCCGCCACTGCCTGAACCAGACATTAAAAATCATCTAGTTAAAATGTCTCCTCCATTGTAAGACATGTAGAACAATACAGCCACACAGACGTTCCCACATCACATCACATCACCACACACACACAGGGTCTGGGGGTGGTGTGTGAAGGTGACAGGAGCCTGTGTGTCGTCAGGTGCATGGAGAGCAGACATGTAGCTGCTGGTGGATGGGATGCTAGCAAGTGAGAGCACAGCAGACTTCCCGGCCAGCTGCTGCTGCTGCTGCTGCCTGGCATCCTCTTAGCATTACTCTCACGTCCCCCTCTGCCTCCTCGGCAAGGAGACAACGGAGCTACCGGTGAGTGTCACCCGGCTGGACGTGGACCGGTTCCCGGTGACAGCGACTCCGCTGCACGACTCTCACACGCCAACATCCACCGGGAGAATCAGAGCCGATCCACCTGCACCACAATTCATCTCCACTCACCGAAGCCCCCTAACTGGCTTTTAATGGACACGACTCACAAATGTACTTTTGGCACTTGGACTTCCACACAAAACGCAGACATTGAGCCTGAATGGCTGCCAGGGGAAGCTCAAAGGAGACGTTTATTAAAAGCAGCCTAATACACCGCCCGCCATCGTATCGGCTCTGCAAAGGGACATGAATAATGCAGCTCATATAGGCTCGCTAACGCTACATAGCTAGAAAATATAACGTCCTCTAGCGTCAAGCTAGCGACACACAACACGGGAGAACCGGATACATGCTGTCGTTCCTTTCGAAATGAAAGCGCGACTTCCATTAAAACCCACTGCAGCACACGCTGAGCCGGGGAGCAGCCACCTTATTTTGAAAGTCTCCGCCGGCGGTTCGTTGTCAGCCTTGACGCTGCATTAAACATGTCACCGTGCTGTCCGCTACAACACTAAAACATGACATGCCTGTCCTCGCGTGTAAATGAATGCGTGTCCCACTCGGGCACGGAACCGCGAATAACGTGCATTCCAAAGGCGAATGCGCGCATCGGTGCGAGCTGTCCGCAGCCGGGCAGCGCTGCGAGCGCGGCTAGCTCCGCCGTTAGCTAGCTCCGCAGCGAGGGCAGCCCGCATCGTGACACCGACGCGCACAAGCAACCCCGCGGCCAAACGGCTCGGGTGTAAACCCCGGAGAACCGTCCTGTCACGTTTCGCTGAGCGGCACCGCTTACCCGTCAGAATGCCCACTCGGGTCTGATGGTCGTGGTTGGTGAGCACCATTCCGTCCGCCGCCATATTTACAACCTCTGCCTGCACTGTGACGGCACGTACATAGAAACAATGTGGTGCGCGAGGCTGCTGCACCTCTGGAGGACGAGCGTGCGTGTGCGTGTGTGTGTGCGTGTGTCACAGTATCATCAGCCAGTGCTCCATTTAGAACCAAATTTACCACGAGTTCTGTAAGAAACCCTGACAGGATCCTTACAACAGCAGTAAAATTGTCTTCACTATAAAACGGATTAATTTTTCTATTTATCTTTACTTTCCATTATTAAATACAGAGGAGTTATTATGATATTATTATTGGCTGGGCAGCACAAGTAGCTGGGATGTGCAACATGCTACAACATTAAAACATAGAAAGTCTACTGGGTTAGAGTCATTAGTTTTGTATTGAACCATAATTCAGCGTTATTCAGTACGATACTGCTGAATACTACAGGTGCAGCCGGATACAAACAGTAGATACAGAGTGGGAGGAAGGCATGAGAAATCAGTCAGTTCGAATCTAAAAACAAATGTGCTCACACACAACAGGAATGTGGATGCATCGTGTGGTGTAGTGTTACATGCCTTGTGATGAGGAACTACAGTGTCATGTGGTGGTGGTGTGTAGGAACATGGTGACTGGCGGTAAATCAACCTGCTGACTGAGTTGAACACAAGAACCATTCAGTTGTCGCCACTATGGCCAATGAGGCTGATGGGCCATGAAGGGGGAGGCTGCTCTGTTTCTGGGACATCCTGCTCCACCAGTGAGCTGGGACACAACCACCATTTAGACCATTAATGTCTGGAGGATTTTTAAAAGCTAAAGAGACATTCTTCATCTGTGTGATTTCTCTGATGGAATTAGGTAGATATTTTCACACTGGCATATTACCCTGTGTTCTTTAGGTGTTTTTTTTTGTTTTTTTTTTTAATTTGTGTTTCGTTATATGTATTGACGTTTTTGTTGTTTTTTATACTTGGGCCCACAGTCCAATTAAATTCAATCCAGCTGCACAAAACTACACACGCTAATGTCTATTTAGTCCACTAAGCACGCAAGTTGTTTTTCATCAAGATCTCTTATTTCTTTAAAAATTCACAAAGATCTTTCTCGCTATAATAAAGAAAATGAAAACTAAATCATGCCTCAGCCCCCTGATCCGGAACATAACAAAATGTAATGGTCTCTTCCCTGACTCATACCACATCCTTCCACCAAATGTCATGGTAATCTGACCAGTAATCTCGCTAACAACTGGTTGGTTTCGCTACTTGGGCGGCTGTGGCTGAGGGGTAGAGCGGTCATCCTCAAACCAGAAGGTCAGCTGCTCAAATCCCAGCCCACGCCAAAGTTTCTTGTGCAAGATGCTGACTCTAATGATAGAGCAAAGTCAATACATAACTTCTTCTCAAGCTAGTTTCACCAGATAAATTCCTAAATTCAAACTTGGCCTCGTTCTAACAAATGTTTCAAGCAGATTTCACCTAAAATGTTAAATGACAATTCTAAACTACCAATACCACTTACTATTAAACACATCACAAAACAGGGATGTTAATAATATTATCTACTACAGTGAATTTATGTTAACACACCATTATTTTATTCTTGGAGAATGAAAGAAATGTTTCCTACTGACTGATTAAGACAACAGTCTGTGCAAGCTGACATATTTTACACATTTTTATAGTGCAACCCAATTTTGAGAATCACTAGTTTGAAACTATACACTGTAAAAAAAAAATGTAATAAAACAGAATTTTACTGTTTATTTTACAGATTTTTTCTGTATTTTTAAAATACCATTAAATTTGCAAAAAGAGACTGTGATATTACATTACAAATGTAAAATAACATGAAATCACTGTAACTGTGAAAACACACAATATTTCTGTTCTTTTACAAGAAACACCATTAGAAATACATATATTT